AATAAATAAAAATGTCATTAAATGGATAGTCGTTTAAACAGAAATAATACCTTCTTATATGATGAGAATGTAAAAAAATTAAACTCAACAAAATTGTAAAATAAATAAGAAACAACATAAATCGCAAAAAAAGAAACAAATTGTTTCGTGAGAAACTTTTTCCGTATAACCACTACACATATATGTACTTTACAGTTCTTTTCAACAACTGATAGCATGTGAGCGATAAAAAAATCCAGGTTAAAAACTTATATATAAATATATCAATAATTTTTAAATAGAAAAAAATGTCACACTATTTTAAATTTGACGCCAACTTGACAAATTCTATTAAATCAACAACAATTTGAAAGTAAATTTAATTTTAATGTTGTCAATATTGTGTAAAAAAAATTACCGTTAACTAGTTAAGAGCTTCTTGTATTAAGAAAAGCACAGTGTAGTCATAGGAAAGCATGCGTTACGCATAAGTCTCTCTTTATCGCACTCATCGGCTGTGACTACCATGGTGCTTTTCTTACGGTATAATTATATGTATATAAAGAGAGAGGGGGAGGGATAAAAAACTAAGACTTTGTCTTAAAACAGCGAATTAGGTAAATATGAATTCGTGTATGTACTTATGTACACAATATAAAAGACAAACAATTGCTTAACTTTTTATTTGTTTATTTACTTAATCAGATTTGTCGGACATGCCGACGATCACAACGAGATATAGTTCTTTTTTTCTTGTCTTATAATTCTTGTATAACGAGTAACCAAAAGAAAAAAAAATCGCCTTCGTTTTGCTCGAATATATAAAAAAACAATCGATCAACACATTTTATCATACCATTATCATGTATACATTTTTACTAAATTCAATAGTATTTTTTTGTCATTAAATCACATCGAGATAAACTGATGGAATACAAATTTGATATTTTCTTTATATAATTGTTTCTATTCTTTTGTTCGTCTGTTTATTATTAAACACATCTCCTTAGTATTCTAATTGCAGAAAATTTCCTCAAAACTATTAAAAAAAACATATAGGCCTTATCGGATCATTCTCCTTTGGATATTATACAATAACATGAGATTCGAAATATAAGTTTAACAAGATCGTTTTATATTTAGATTATTTTTTAACTTTTTAAAGAAGTAAAACTGTGAAAATATAGAACAAAACATTTTTAATCTTCTGAAAAATGTCTATATAATCGAATACACTAAATTTTTGTCTCTTTATATGTAAAAAAAATTACTAATATTAGTCTCCCAACAAAAAATTGTTTACTTTTTACAAATAACTAAAATTGTTCGGATTTTTTAATAAATGTAGCCACAGAAATAATTTGGTTTATGAGATAAAACTCGGGTATATTTTCATATTTTTATTTTATAGATTTTATGATTCATACGTTGAAAAATTTATTTTAAAATAACCAAAATTTCGAAAAATCCACGGGAAAAAATTGTTTAAAAATTTAAAGGTTGGAGAAATTTAATCGCATAAACCAGACAATTTTCGAAGACTCGAATAAATTAGCAAAGGCCTCTAAATTCTGAGAAATTGTAATTTTCACATAGAAGCAAAATACATCGATAGGTGTTTTATAAGCTATATAGTATATGTACACGGAGAGAAATATTATACTATTATCGCATAGATTTTATCACCCGATTTTTCCATGTATTTAGTATGCGTAATTTTCTCGGAATCTATGCGAAAAACGCATGGCTCCTGTAATTTGTACATGGACTCATGCGATTTTGACATAGATTCCGAGCAAATTACACATATGTGTAAGTGCATTATTCGTATAGTTTGCCCATGCGCCATTCCTGATATTTCTCTCCGTGTATAAACGACAGAAAATTTCCGAACATCTGTGCGTAAAAATTACAAACAATCTCGCTATAAATGTTGATAAGTATTTATCAGAAGTGACTCTCGCATATTCTGACAAACTTAGAGAAATCGTGTTTTCTTATTTAATTTCTTTTACAACTCACTCCGTTAATCGTGTACAATCACTTTTTTCCTTGTTATTTATTTAGTATTTTTTTATTTTAAAAGTGAATCACAACTTCGTTATATCAACGAACTTAACGAAGTAGTAAAGTATATATATTTATAATATTGATAAATATAACTATGCACTAAAACATGCACAGCAAAGTGTAAAGCTTTTTTATTTTTACTGATCGCACGGATAAAAAAATTATTTAATTAATTACCGCTCATTGAGGCTCAATCGTCAAAAAGTATTTTATAACCTCATGCACAATATTTAATCAAGGGATATTTATAAATAAAAATTTTTTTCGATTGAAACACTGAGACAAAATAACTGAATATTTTTTCTTTTTTGTTGTTGTTTTACTACATCCGTGCGCGCATAATTAATTAAATTCCTAAGCTTTTCTTTGTTTTCGTTCAGAAGAAACTTACTCCTATGTAGAAAACAAAAAAAATTCATTTTTAAATTCTTTCAGGCGTTTTTTTAATACTTGAGTTCCCAGAGGCGCAATTTTCCGACAGTATATATATATATATATGTAAAAAAATGAATGGATGTACTGAGCGGATAAACTTAAAAATTACATACATCGATTTCCGCACACAAATCAGACGAGGTTTTATATACCATAAGAGTACCACCATGTCAATTATAGGAATCATGTATTCCACATAAGAGTGTTTCACTCGCATTCATGAGCGGTGACTGACGTGAAGATGCTCTTCACTGTTTTCTTGAAGGTATCAAGTTGATACCGAATTGGATCAAATTATATTTTGATCCAAATATTGGTATCAATTTGTTGTAATTTGATACTTTCAAATTAACAGTGTTATTGTATGGTAAAAAAGAAGAAAAAAAATATAAAGTGAGATCAGCGATATTTACAATTATTTCTGATGTGAATTTGTTCGCTTACACATGAAGACGTAACATTTATGATAAAAACATCTTACTTTTAAAATTGTTGTTTCAGCGCAATAAATATTTTAGAGTTTCTTTTAATGAACAATATTTGCATTTTTCGAGACAAATTTAAACAAGTAAAATAGTAAAAAAAATTATAGTCATTGTTTAAAAATAATTTTTTTTAAATAAAAATTTTAAGTGTAAAGAAACAATTAGATTATAATATTCATAAACATTAGCATTTTTGGTTTTCATTTCTATATTTCTTGAAGCGGAATGTTAAAAATGATACGTTCTTTAAATTGTTCTCAAACGATTATATGCTAATGTGTATTTACACACATATAATGTTTCATAAAATATGTTAAGATTATAGAGCACAAGTTTCTAAGAAACAAAAATAATAGTCCACACAAGAAATATATATATATATAATATATGTTAGGGCACATTATAGATTTTTCAATATATCTATTGTGGTGGGTATATATATAAACAATATATACATAAATATATATTTATGTAAACAATATATATATAGTAAATTCACTGCGTCGAGCAAACTTTTTTCAGTTACGAAAACAATCATTTTTTATTATTTCAGAACAGTTTAATGAACTTTCGAATATTTAAATTACCTAACAAACATTATACTTCTTTGTTTAAAAAATAAATTACCATAAATATTGGTAAAATTAGAAACAAATACTGAAGTTTTAAATAAAAAAAATACATTAAATCTATAAAAAAATAGCTTTTTAATTAATAATTTTTATAATTATTATTTACACTATGTAACATTAATTATTATAAAAAATATGTAAGTTTTAAATACAAATTAAATTTCTACATCATGTAATCCAAATTAAAATATTTTTATTCTAAAAACTCCCTCTAAAATCATTTTTAAATATATAGTTTTTATTAATATTAACTTAACAATAATGTATTTGTTTTATACTTTATTTTTATTATTGTATTAAAAGACAAAAATTAATTTTTAGTTTGACAAAATTTTCAGTATAATAAAACAGTAACAAAATAGAGTAATATAATAAACTCCCTGAATCTTTAATAATATAATCATGTTGTTTTGTAACTAATCTGTGGACATAAAATAAAACTTTTATCTATACGTAAAAAAATGATAACATGGAAAAAAACGAATTATAAACTAAACGTTTTTAACAATGTTTCTTAAAAAATGATTCGTTTCGTTGAAATTTAAAATATCAAATATTTTTCAAATATATATAATCGAAAATATTCAATCAATACACTGAATAAAAATGATTCTATTTACTTTTAGAGGTTGCAAAATTGTTCATTAAAACTATCTCATTACATTTGGAAAAAAATTTTGAATTTATTCCCATAAATCGATTAATAACTATTAGAAATTGTTGTTTAAAAAACTTGAAAAATACGCAATCTTTTAAAAAGCGAAAAAGGACATTTTTGTTCAGAATCAATTCTTAATCTCTGGTTACTTAGGTTATATTATTTGGAATTTTTTAAATATTGAATTAAAAAATATCAATTGTTTTTAAATACTATTTCTTCCGGCCAAAAATAATATATCATCGGAAAAAATAGAAAAATTATTTTGTTACTTTTTTGAAAATAAAAATTCACATTTTGACATTCTACAGCCCCTATATACGCCCAGAAAAAAATTGTGCCATCTTTGAGTTTTTGGACATACATATTTACGTCTTCCTGAGAAAGACAATAGTAAACCTAATCCGTAAATGTAAAAATTGCATCGACTTTGACCTACCCTTAAAATTTGTTGTGTCGCTTGATTTCGAATTTCATGTTAGATTTAAGAAATTTCAGATGGCGTATCAAATATAGCAACCAACAATTTTTAAATTGACCAAATTCGCTTGAAACCAGACTTTTTCACTAGACTGCAAAAATTGTATTATGCAAATTTTCATTTACATAAATTTTTAAAAGTGAGTTCAAATTTACTGTTATACGGAATGCTGACGTAAATTTAAACAAAAATTTAGTCGAATACAAAACCTAAAAATGAAAAAGCATGTAAACATGTAATCTGTGAAAAGAACAATTTACCAAAAATGTTCGTTGAGATCGTTGAGCAAATAATATTCCATGGACGTATAAATTAATTGTTAAACAAAACCAATATAAATTTTCGCAAAATTTACAACACTTGCCTCCTCAGAAAGTGACAATTTATAGTCACTCTTTTCCCACAAATACAGTGACAAAAAAATTACATTTCTTGCTAAAACCACACTGAATTATAACGGCTGATCACACAATTATATTCTTCATCATGGGACACGAAGTCGAGAGAATCTTGATATTTGTAGATGATGATTGTATATAGAGAAGCTTGGTAAAAAAGAAGAAAAGAGAATCCAACCTCAAGGAATCTTTGAAAGAAGACAAACAAAAGGTCCTCGTGATCGGCGAGGTCACAAGAAAATCGTTAACGACCAATTCATCATTGAAAAACCCGAAACCACATCTTCGGTTCGAGTTCGGCAAAGATCGCGCCTCCATATATATTACAACACGAAGTCTCTTTCCACGTAAGCGATCATGTCCGAAGTTTCACGAAACCACAGTTGTATTTCTCTCGACCGCTTCAAATATCAACACACAACATACACTACTCTCGCCCGTATATTTACAAACAGCGCCATGTAAGGCTTGTTTCTGTCTAATTACCGCACATGCCATTTTGCGCATATACACCAAATGTATGTGTGTGTATTTTTCTTTTTTTATTTGGATCAAAAAGAAAGTCTCAAGAAAATAAAAATGTCTTTTCACCCCCGAAACGTTTTTCACAGATCCAATGGCTGATAATCAGGTGGTAATGGCTCATCATCCGATTCATAATAAAAACTTTTTCTCTCATAAATAAATGGCCTTGGCTGTCCAACGACATCCTCTACCACCACCTCATCTTCTTCAGAGCCATTTGTTGAATTATCGTATTCGTCAAAATTCTCCTGAAGTCGTTTAACTGCCTCCTTAATGAGGCCACCACGTCGCAATAATTCTTGCAACAATTCATAAGGATCATCATCCTGATGATCTCTAGTCGTCGAGCGTTTTCGACTATTATTATGTCGTTGCTGCTGATTATGCCGATGCTGTTCACTGGAGTTTCGCATACCACAAATTTCACAATTGCTCGCAGGATCAGCCCACGAACGAGATGGTATCCGATATGGTGATGGACGATTTTTATGAGCGTGACTTGATTTTGCCTTTAAATTCGAGATCCTCAAATTCTCCTTGATTTGTGATACAAGAAGATCTACATCTTGGGACAAAAAGTCCTGTGTTGTGTCGGGAATCACCTCGATTAGATATGTCGGTTCCTCGGCACTCGGCATTTTGGCCAGTACACGCTCCAGGCCTTTTCTTTGTCGATGTTTACCTGCTTTTGCTTGTATGCGTATGTGTCTTTCTCAAACAGCAATGGCTACGGCCCTTTCTCCTTTATATCTTCTCTTCAAAGTAAAGGTACAAAACAGAAAAATTTCACTTGGAAAACTTAATGGCATCCGCACTAGTAACAAATTATTTACTAAACAAGCTCTCACACTTTTAATAAATATATTTTTTCACATGTACAAAGCGCGTGATTCACTGTCGTGTTACGCGTGACTCTTCACAGTAGTCTTTCTGTTGGAGAAGTTTGAAGCGGAATTTCGCATCTGTACACACTGTTGTCGTGGCTGGGAATGAATGAATAGAGAGAGAGAGAGAGAGAGAGTGAGTTATACTACAATTCATCGGACATTGTTGACTTCGAGTTTTTCGCGTTTGTTTTTGTTTTCCACCTGGCGGTGTGTGTGTGTATATTTTAAACGCGCACACTCCCAAAAGGTCGAGGACACTTTCTATTCCTGTTTTTTTCTTTCTTTGTATTCAATTAACTTCCACACGAAGTATACATTTTTTTCTTTCTGCTGGTTTTTTTTGGTCAAAGAAAATTTTTGTTTAATAATAATAATAATTTTGGTATGTAGTAAGAGGAAGAAAAACAAATATACTATCAGTCTTTTTTCCGTTCACACACAAATACAGTGAGTGAGAGAGAAAGAATATCTGTGTTTCGACTCAACTGACTCGGGTCAGAAGACGACGGGAACGGGAATATCGAGGCTGCCTGTCTGCCAGCCATGAACCTTCCTCTCCTCCTCTCTCGCACTCTGTTATTATTGTTTTGGTCTTGGACGCGCATGCGCGCATTCTGTTCTCTCTCCCTCTATATATATATATGTATATATATATGAGAGAACTCGTGTAAACAAACCGTTAACTCAACTTCTCGAAAACTCCGGCGAATCAATAGTACGTCATCGCTTTTCCACCTTTCGTTCACGTTTTCCCACCCCCGCACACCCCTATTAGCTTAACTGTTTTTGTTATATGCATATATATATATATAAAAATAAAATTCTACGCCCAGTAAGAAAAACTTATGAATAGATAATTATATAGAAATTACAATATTTTCAATTCAATAAAAAATATCATTTGAAGAATACGATCTTTTCTTATTGATATTGTGATAAATAATAAAGCAATTCTTTAGAATTTTCATTTAATAGAATTTCTATGTTAACAATTAAATTATAGGCCTTGAATTAAGAAAGATAAATTTCTATTCTTTTTTTGCGTAGCAAGTAGCCAATGCCTGCAGTACAATTCCTATTAACAATAATTTTCATTTAACAAAGTTTTTAATCCGACTTGAATTAAGCAAAATATCTAACAAAACTCCTATTAAACAAAATTGACATTTCACTTTTGCATTAAATCTAATTTTCTTTAAACAAATTTACATTTGATTTATGGTTCATTATTGTCTATTTAATAATCTACGATCCAAAGCAGATCTATGAAAATTGCATAGCAATTAATTGAACGTTTTGACTCCGTACAGTAGTGGTTATCAAATATAAGGAAGTGAATAAATTTGATCCTTATGTTTATTAATAAATAAATATTAATGGCATAAAAATCAATTCAATCTTCTTGTTTAACATAACATTATGCTACTCATTATCAAAAACGATAAAAATTCTCTTCATTTCGCAAATTATACTTAGCAATTGTTGAAAAATTCAACAAATAAAAATAATTTTTCACTTACCTAAAAATTACAATCGATATGGCATATATGTATTAGTATTATCCGTTTGTAACCTTTTATGAACCATCTACAAATTTAATTACATCAGATATTCTTCGCGAGTGTCCTAGTTTAAAATAAATCTCACTCTCTAAATAGCATATCTCGATTGAATCCAATTCTGTAATTACATAAAAAAAGTAGATTAGTCATTTAGGATAAGGTTGAAGCTGATGAATCAAATTTTTTGTATCTTTGATAATAAATTTTTTTAGATTCAAACTACATACATGATTTGTGTGTGTGTGTGTTTGTGTGAATAAGAAAAAAAAATTAACATTGAAGGATGAAACGATAAAAGACTAATTGAAATGTTGACTTAAAATTTAATACACCTTGAATATTTCATTTGATACATATCGCGTCAGTGTATAAAAAAGAAAACGCGATAAATAGGAAATTTCATAAAGAATAAAATTTACAAACTTGCAAAGTTAATTAAAAAAATAAAGCTAATCCGAATACTACTACTAATTTATAGTAATATATTAATACTGTATTATTTTTCAACTTTTTTAACCAGACAAATTATCGCATTTCAAATATATTTTTATTAAAGGAATTATTAATGGTTTTATATTAAAAGTTATTGTTATTATTATTTGAAATAATTAAGTTCACTAAGGCTGTGAAAAATAATTATTAAGATGAGAGTTTGCAATATTGAATATTAAAAGTGCAAGTGCATTGGAAAAATTGGAGGTTATGTTATCTCCTAACGAACAGTCCAAGAAATCAATAATTGAAATCGATAATTACAGGTTAAAATTATTAAACTTTTCTCAAGTTTACACGGAATTTCGAAAAAAAATTACGAAACTTAATCGAATATTTTTAAATTAACAGTAAAACATTGCGTTTCTCGAATCACTAGAACACAAACTCAAAAAAATCCCTTAGATAAAATATTTCACTTAATCGAAAAAATGTGCTTATACATTAAACTTACAATAAAGTCACCACAATCGGATATTAATAAATAAAACCAATAAAGCAGGACGTAAATTACAGAATACAGGGAAATGTTACATGAAATGCGCGGCAATAATTTCTATCCACAGAGAGAAGCCATGTTCACTTCTGACATGGCAGTATTGCCAACAGTTGTGCCAATATAGATGAAACTCATTTGAATAGCGGAAATTTTAAAATATGTAAAATATATAAATGGAAATTTTATTAATTAAACATTATAATATTATTCAATAATATGAATGCATACAAATAATGATAAAATTTTTAAAATAACCAACGTAATAATGTAATAAAAAGCAAATTCTTGAAAGTTATTTTATTTATTTGATGTGATTTTGTTATGTACATGTTTATTTTTAATTGTCACAAAAGTTGCTCCTACAATATTACAGGACAATGTTTAATTAAATATCTAATATTACTTTCGTTTGTTTATTCAAGGTCCAGGAATACTCGTGTGTATTCGAATTCCATGCATGTCTTTAATTTCCTCTTTCAAGGCCTAGAAAAATATAAAATTACTTTTAAAATAATATCATATGGAAAATAATATTTAGGTACATGAATAAATAATTTTATTATTATTTCATTATACCTCAGTGTCCAAAATGTTTTGAAATCCCTAAATATTAACTTTTTACATTCATAATAAATAAAGAAATTTCATTAAAAAATAATAATAAAATTTGTTTTTAATTTATTCAATATACATATACAGATATGATAAGATAAACAATTAATAATTTTGTTTTTACCTCATTAATAATTCGATGTTGTTTTACAGTAGTCAATCCTTTAAATTCCGGAGCAACAACACTAACTTCAAACATCGCTCCGCAACCTCCTATTAAAAAATTAGTTAAAATAAATTCAATAAATGGAATAAAAAATATTTAATTTGATAACTTTCTTTTTTTCAACTCACCCGACACATCAGTAACTTCAATAAGTTTTGCTTCTGGAAATTTATTCTTTAAAATATTGATCATTTTTTGTTCAGCCTCCTTACTGGCAAGAACGTTGTTGGGTCCATTCCAAACTCGTGACAGAAGCTGCAACATTTTTGTTTTATTCATCCTTCTTTGAGAGGCATTCAAAATGTTTTTTAATTTTTCTCTTTTTTCTTAAATACACAATTTTCACTTTCAATTTTCAGAATAGAATACAAGTAATTTTTATTTATTTTTCTTTTTTTAATCAAATTGGAAGAGAAATTCTCAGACTAATAATAATAACTGGGTTTTTACGACATAAACACATGAAAATTTTTTCTCTTTTGTCTTCTGAATCTTTTAAGATGCTACAAATAATTAATTTTCAAACAAAATATTTTTAGATTAATTTACTTCTTTTAATAAATAAAAATAATAATAATTAATCATTTATTTAGTAGTAAATAAGAATATAAGCAAAACAAAAAAAAACTATTATATTATCATACATAATTATAATAAATGTCATTAAAAAAATTAAAAATATTTTAATTATTAATAAATTAATTCATTAATTAAGTATTAAATTATTTAATTGACATAAATATTTATTATTATTATTACATTTCATAAATATATTATAGAGTCCAATTAATTAATTTTACCTATATTAATTATTATAATAAATTAATTAAAAATTATATGTTAATTAAACTTTTGAATTACTTACTGAAATTTTACGAAATTTTGACGTTAATCTAGAAGCAAACATAGTTGAAATTGTGGAATATGTGACAGTCATGAGGTTTTTTTTTTTTTGACAATTTATAGACTTTCAATTGTCTTCTGAAAAAACAAAATTACCGGCCAACAATATTATTACATATTTATTAACTATATTATAAACTATTGTTAAAAAATTTTTCTTTTAATAAAACATTAATATTAATATCAGATAGTTAAAATAAATAATAATTATAGCTTATTATTTCCCAAGAATATAAACATTTTTCATTAAAAAATTATAATGATAATCTAACTTTGAGGTTATGATTTTAATCTCTATATTCAATAAAAATTCATTTTTAAATAATTGCAACAAAAAAATATGATACAGAATTTAAAAGAATTCGAATAATAGTATTTATTGATATTAAAAATAAGATGCATTTTAACTTACCTTTAAATATATAGGTATATATGTATATATAGTGAAACCGAGAAAAACGAACCTAGTTGCTCGTGTTTTAAAACTTGGTGTTTAAACTATATGTAAATTAGTGACTAAAATTACATTTGAGAGCAATTATATTAAAAGAGTTGAAATGAATACCCACTGTCATGTTTCTTATTTTTATTTAAAAAAAAGAATGTAATTATGCTGAGCGATCTTTGCAAAGTTTTGTTGCTAAGCACGAGAGCCATGCACGAGACCACACCATAACCCTACTTTTATTCTGAAAAATTCTTGCAAGAATTTTTCAGAATTTTTCCAATCATGCATTATAGTGTAGGAGTGTAGGGGAGAGCGGGGCAAAGCCGCTATGTGGGGCAAAGGCGTTTTTCAAAATATCTTCCTTCTTTCTTATCTAATACAATTTTTGTTTACAGTTTATTATTAATATGATTAAAGCAATTAATTAGAAAAGAAAAAAACTCGAAAATATTAAGTACAATAAGAAATATAATATAAAAATAGTTTTTGCAAGGAAGAAATGAAAATTTCGTTGATCGAAGATTCAAATTTAAAAAATAGTTTTAAGCACTTGGGTCTTAAAAATATTTCGATTGAATAAATGAATCATTTATCTACACGATCTGCATTAAATTTAAATTCATTTTTTTATTTATATAAGTGAAATTTTAAAAATAAAAAATGTTTGTCATTGGGGGCAAAGCCGTTTAAAAAATGTTTTGTAAAAACAGTTGAAAATGAAAATCTGCATTACCTTTAGACATGAAGGATTTCTAACTTCAAGCGCATCAAATGTCAACAAAAATGTTATATATTTTATTCAATAAAATAACTCCAAAATTTGTCTATTGGTAAATATTGTTATTCTTAAAAAATGTTTGTAAACAATATATGTATGTATATCAATATAATGTATATTATTATTAATTTAAAATACAATTAAACAATAAAAAAATGTACTTTTAAATATTATTAATAATTAAAAATACAATTACAAAATAAAAAGAAATTATTATAAAACTAGCAAAATTACACGCGCGCAAGCGCGCGTCCAACTTTAATTGCAATGGTTATTTTAAAATAATAATAATAATAATAATAATAATAATAATAATAATAATAATAATAATAATAATAATAATAATAATAATAATAATAATAATAATTCTGCATCAGTGGAGTATTAAATTAATAATAGGTATATTTCTAATTTTCACGTTATCATTTATTTATACACAGAAAAAAATGAGTTTGATGTTATATAAATAAATAAATTTAAGTAAAAATTTTAAAATATAAATATTAAAGTTTTAGAAATAAATATTTTTGATAAAGTTAATGTTCAATGAATTTTTTATAATCTTTCAAATTACAAAAAATTAATTATGCTAAATATTTTTTTGTATTTTCTATAAATATTTCGTTGCAAATGAAAATTTTAAAATGTTTTTTTTTCAAAAAATTTAATTAACTGATAATTAATAAATATTAAAAAATTATGTAATCAAAAAAAAAATTTAAATTAACAGAAAATTATTAATTATATTTTAAAAAGTAAAAAATTAAATTAAAAAATATTTAAAAATTTTGAAAAAATAAAACCTAAAAAAAATTTGTAATGTTTTAAACTTTAAACTTAAATTAAAAATTAAAATCAAATTGAAAATTTTTTAAAAAAGCAAACTATTTTTATATTGTTTATAGATAAAAAAATATAACAATTTAATAATTAATAATAAAAACAAATTAATAATAATAAATTTATGAATAATAATTTATAATAAATAATAATGAATAATGAAAAAATAATGAAAGATAAATAATAATTATAAGTTAAAATGTTCTAATTATCTGTAATAATCATTATATTTAAAAAAATGTATATATAATATAATAAATTTATAAATAATAATAAAAATTATATTATAATTAAAACTTTTTTTTCTATAAATACCAAGTAGGAAATATACTGGTGCTGCACACAATGAACAATATCTTTTTTTACTTTAAACTGTCACTTACAATATATGACTTAATTAATGACGATGAATAAAAATATCCGTCATGTTAACCATAAAATATTACGAAATCAAGAATTGTCAAAATTTTAGAAAAACAAAAGGAACAAAATACGACTAACTTCAAGTGTGGACAGACGGAATGAATGAATGAATACGGAAATTATTATAGTTAATAATAATAATATACAAATATCCATTAAATGAAAACAAATATTTTAATTTCATTTTATTTACAGACTTCAATTTTATTTTTTAAATTTCAAATTTCCCATTTTTCACACTGCGCATGTGCATGCATTTCTGACGCTGAAAGCATAAGGGCCAACGCACAATAGCTTCGCGAAAGTCGTTCGCGAACGAGATGCATGAGATAGAAAAGGATACGAATATATCGCTTTCGCGAAGCTATTCTGTTTAGGCCTTTAATCATTACATTGAATTTATCCTCTTTTTTTTTTATTGTTTTTTTAATTCACTGTTTGTTTTTTATTCACTTATAAAAAAGGTGGTTGACATTAAAAAAAAAATATGAATGTGTTGAAATAGAAAAAAATAGATTAATACAGATCTAAAATTTACTTATTAAAAGTTGATCGTTTTGAATTCAAATTCGCCATTTTGGTATAGTTTCATACGACAGGAAGTGTCGACTTGTGGCGCTACCAGTAAACTCCCACTAAAACCATTTCTTCCTCATGTTCCTCATTGTTCTACTCGTCGCAGAGAGAAGTGTAAGTAAAAAAGTGAATTCTTTGTTAATATCATTTGAGTGTTTAAAATTTTTTTCATTGATCTATTCGGTGTTCTTGTTAGTTATTTTATTCGTCCGAAATTCAGAAATACTCTTCAAATAAGTAAGAATCGGGTTCTAAATTGAATTAAAATAGTAAATTTTTGCTTCGTGAAAATTTTATCCTTGAAAATCCGCCCCATTTTGTGCACGCTTGGCTTGGCGTCATTTTTTCCCCACAATCGTAGAATGTGGTTCACACAATTTTTGCGTTATTAATCGATAAATTTTTGTAAAAATAGATATTATTTCGGTATTTCTGTATTTTATTTACAAAATTAATCAAATTTATAATATATTGGATGATGCAAGAATCGTTAATAGTAAGATTCTATGTCCGCCCCATTTTGTGCACGCTTGGCTTGGCGTCATTTTTTCCCCACAATCGTAGAATGTGGTTCACACAATTTTTGCGTTATTAATCGATAAATTTTTGTAAAAATAGATATTATTTCGGTATTTCTGTATTTTATTTACAAAATTAATCAAATTTATAATATATTGGATGATGCAAGAATCGTTAATAGTAAGATTCTATGTCCGCCCCATTTTGTGCACGCTTGGCTTGGCGTCATTTTTTCCCCACAATCGTAGAATGTGGTTCACACAATTTTTGCGTTATTAATCGATAAATTTTTGTAAAAATAGATATTATTTCGGTATTTCTGTATTTTATTTACAAAATTAATCGAATTTATAATATATTGGATGATGGAATAATCGTTAATAGTAAATATATTCATCGTAAATGTAAGTGCAATTTTTTCTCACTCTGGAAGCATCGGTGCTATTTTCTCTATTATTTTACTTTGCTCGCGATCAAAAATATTTTGCCTACTTGTGACGTCACACACATAATGTACATATATATATATATATATATATATATATATATATATTTATTTCAAAAAATTATTAAATTTTCGAATAAAATTATTTAAAATAGACCTTTTCATGCTGATCATTCTGTCCTCTTCCAACTCATGCGTCATTATATGCGCTAGATAAGGACAGAACGATCAGCATGAGAAGGTCTATTCTGTAAATATTAGGTTTCTTTTTGACAAATTTTAATTCCAATTGTTTGAAGAAAAGTTAAATAATAAATAAATAATCTTAATTAATAATAATAATAAAAATTTCACAACATAACCTATAATTTGAGTTTCTAAAGTCCCTTTCTTCAGATCGCGTCACATATTCAAAAAAAAAACAAAACTCAAAAATGTGTCTATCAATAAATATTATTATATTTAAAAAATATTTGTAAACCAATTAAAAGTATTTTATCTATTTATTTATATAAAATAGTGTTTGTTTAACTAGAAAAAACAATTTCTATAGTATTATTTTCTTCTTGCAGTTAACGTTTTATTTGGAAATCGTCAGTTTCATCGTCAATCATCGTTCTGATTTGAAGTTACCGTTTTTGCGTTTTGGAAGAATCAATTGCATTGTCACTTACCGGTATTCTTGGATATCCTGCATTTCACTTGTCATTTTCTGCTTTCGTGTGAGGTAAGAATTTTTAATAAAAAATATTGAGATTTTGATTGGATTTTCCTAATGTTATATTCCCCGCGATATTGCGGGTATAAATGTAAAGGGATTACACAATCGATATTATTCTTATTTTCGATTATTACATATTGCCATTTTAATTTTTTTTTAATATTTAAATATTAAGAAAGATTAATTTTATTAATTTATTAAATATTATGTTATTATTATTAATTTATTCTTATAAAATAGAATTTGTTTAACTGGAAAAAATTATTTCCATAATTTTATTTTCTTTTTCCAAATTTAATATTAATTTTGTGGAAAAAAATAAAAAAAAAAAGTCGTCCATGGGTAAACAGAATTATTTAAAAAAATTATTTTTTGCATTTATTCTTATAAAATAGAGTATGTTTAACTAAAAAATATTATTACCACAATTTTTTTTTCTTTTTTCAAATTTTTAACCAATTATTTTCGAAAAAAAAAGAAACTTAAAAATGTGTCTATCAATAAATATTATTATATTTAAAAAAAATTTGTAAACCTATTAAAAGTATTTTATCTATTTATTTTTATAAAATAGTGTTTGTTTAACTAGAAAAAACAATTTCTATAGTATTATTTTCTTCTTGCAGTTAACGTTTTATTTGGAAATCGTCAGTTTCATCGTCAATCATCGTTCTGATTTGAAGTTACCGTTTTTGCGTTTTGAAAGAATCAATTGCATCGTCACTTACCGGTATTCTTGGATATCCTGCATTTCACTTGTCATTTTCTGCTTTCGTGTGAGGTAAGAATTTTTAAAAAAAATATTGAGATTTTGATTGGATTTTCCTAATGTTATATTCCCCGCGATATTGCGGGTATAAATGTAAAGGGATTACACAATCGATATTATTCTTATTTTCAATTATTACACATTGCTATTTTAATTTTTTATATTTAAATATTCAAAAAC